ATGGCTTTTGTTCTACTGTTTCTCAAATTATGTGCACCAATGTTGATCGTCCAACATGGTATCAGAGCAGGCTTTTGACCTGTCTCTGATGCTCCCTCTTATCTAAACCATCACAACCTTTCCTCCTCTTTATCAGAAGCATTAATGGCGGATTCCTCTTCCAGCCACACCACAACACCACCTCTGGTTGGTAACACACAAAATTCCCTTATCCAACCTCACCATCAACTTGTATCTCTCAAACTGACAGATTCAAATTTTCTGCTTTGGAAACAACAAGTAATCACCACCATAAAAGGATATGGCCTTGAGTCCTTTATCTCTAGCTCAGATCTGGCTCTATCTCAGACCACAGTTGATGGCACAGGTCAGATCCAAGTCAACCCCGAGTATGTAAGTTGGGTAAGGCAAGATCAGCTACTTGCAAGCTGGCTTCTCTCATCTCTCTCTGAAAATCTTCTAGTAATGATGGTTGGAAAGAACACCTCAAAAGAAATCTGGCAAGCCGTGGAGTCCAACTACTCAGGCCAGTCCAAAGCAAGGTTAATGCAGTTCAAGCTGCAACTCCAGACCCTCAAAAAGGGTAACCTACCTATGAGAGAGTTTCTATCTCAAGTCAAGGCTTGTTGTGATGCTTTGGGAACAGCATGTGAACCTTTAAGTGAGCAAAACCATATCCTTCACATCCTAGGTGGCCTGGGTCAAGAATATAATGCAGTAGTGGTTGTTGTGACCACTAGAATTGAGGCCTATACTCTAAATGAGGTCCACTCCATGCTTCTTAGCTTAGAATCCAGAATGGATCTTCAAACTCAACCTACAATCAACCTAGATGGCTCAAGCCCCTCAGCTCACTATGCATCTCAAAACACTGGAAACAACAACAAGGGATCTACAAACCAAGGAGGAAATCAGTTTCACAACTCTCAATCTCAGAATCCCTTTGGCAGAGGCAACAACCATAACAACTTTTCAACCAGGGGGAGAGGAAGAAATGCAAGAGGGAGAGGGGGCAGGAACTTCAGAGGCAATTTCAGAACCCCTTGCCAACTGTGTGGCCTCTCAAACCACACTGCAGACAGATGTTTTCATAGGTATGACTCAACCTACCCTGGGCCAACAAATCTGCAAGCACAAGTTGCACAAGCCTCTCCACCTCAAGTCGTTCAACCCACAACACACTATCTCAACCAAGCAAGTGACACCATGACTGAATCCAGCTGGTTTGCAGACTCAGGGGCAACAAATCATGTCACCAATGAACTATCTAACCTTAATCTTGCCTCAGAATTTCAAGGTACCAACAAACTTCAGATAGGTAATGTAACTGGTTTAAGTATTTCTCATATTGGCAATTCATTTCTAAAATCCAACCTTCAATCTAAACCTTTCCTGCTAAAGAATCTTCTTCATGTGCCCAGCATCACAAAGAATCTTGTTAGTGTCTCACAGTTTGCTAAAGATAATTGTGTCTTTTTTGAATTCCATCCATCTGTTTGTCTTATCAAGGATCAGGACACTCACAATGTTCTTCTCAAAGGCTCCCTTGAGGGAGGTCTCTACAAATTTTATGCTCAGATTTCCAACATCACCAAGTTCAAGTCTTCATCACCTTCAGTTCCTTCTTTCCCAAGAGCTTTTCTTTCCAGTTGTAATAAAACAGCCAGCCTTGATCTTTGGCACTCTAGATTAGGACATGCAGCAATTGATGTAGTTCTTAAAGTTATGAGAAGCTGTAATGTACCTTATCTTGTTAATGAAAACTTTGTTTGTGGCTCTTTCTTACAAGCCAAAGCTCATGCCTTACCTACTTTTGACTCTCAATCTCAATATTCTGCACCATTGCAACTCATACACACAGATGTGTGGGGACCCTCACCCATCACATCCAACTCAAAATCACATTACTATGTTTGCTTTATTGATCATTTTACAAGGTTCACTTGGATATACTTTCTTCATAAGAAGTCTGATGTTTATGAGTCATTTATTCATTTCAAAAACCTTGTTGAAACACAACTTAATCATAAAATTAAATCAGTTCAAAGTGATGGAGGAGGTGAGTTCACAGCCCTCACCAAATTTTTCCATGCAAATGGTATCCATCACAGACTTTCTTGTCCTTATAATCCTTCTCAAAATGGCCTGGCAGAGAGGAGGCACATGACCATAGTTGAAATGGGCCTAGCTCTTCTCTCTCACTCCAAAGTACCTCTTAAATATTGGGATGATGCCTTTCACACTGCAGTATATGTCCTCAACAGGCTTCCAGTCAAATCTTTAAGCTTTACATCACCCCTTGAGAAGTTATATGGCCACAAACCAAATTATACTACCCTTAAAGTTTTTGGCTCCCTTTGTTACCCTAATCTCAGAACTTACAACAAGCACAAACTAGAACCTAGATCCTTACCTTGCACTTTTCTTGGATACAGCTCAAGACATAAAGGGTTTAAGGTTCTTTTGCCTACAGGCAAAATCATTGTTTCTAAAGATGTTATCTTTGATGAATTCAAATTTCCCTTCCACAAATCTCTCATCCCTACCCACCTGTCTCTCCCAATTTACCTCATATGGAGGCCCCTCCCATCATTCAATCACCTCCCACTCCCACTGTTCCCGGCTCCTCTAATTCTACACATGGCCATAACCCTCCAACTCCAACCACTATCCATTCCCCAGCACAAACCCCCTCCACTTCTGCCTCAAGCACTCATCCAACATCACCTCAGTCCACCTCTGGCAGTCACTCCACCATTCCTCTTGCAGTTGACTTGCCAATTATGACTAATCAAATACCAGCTCCATTATCTAATGTTGCAGGTACAAGTACAGGACACCACATGGTCACAAGGTCCACAACAGGCAGTCTTAAACCAAGAGCATTTATGGTTGTTGACTTGAACACTCAAGCTCCCACCACTCACATCCAAGCTCTATCCCATCCCAAATGGTCAACTGCCATGCAATCTGAATATCAAGCCTTGTTGGCAAATCAAACTTGGAGCCTGGTTCCATTACCACCTCATAAAGTTGCTATAGGCTGTAAGTGGATCTTCAAACTTAAACATCATGCCAATGGCTCCATTGCAAGATATAAAGCCAGACTAGTGGCTAAGGGGTATAGCCAGACACCAGGCATTGACTTCACAGAAACTTTCAGTCCTGTAGTCAAACCACAACAATCAGGCTTGTACTCTCCTTAGCTCTAATGAACAAGTGGACAGTTAGGCAATTGGATATCAACAATGCCTTTTTGCATGGGGATATTGATGAGGACCTTTATATGGCTCAACCACCAGGTTTTGAATATGTGCAACATCCCTCCTTTGTTTGCAAATTGCACAAGTCCATCTATGGTTTAAAACAAGCTCCTCGAGCTTGGTTTCAGAAACTGAGGGAAGTATTACACAAGATGCATTTCACTAACTCCAAAGCTGACACATCTCTCTATGTCAAGAGGACAGGCTCCACTATAATTTGGCTCCTTGTATACATTGATGACATATTGGTCACTGGGAATAGTGCATCTCAGGTTCAAACCACCATTATGCAGCTTGGCAAAGCCTTCTCTTTAAAGGACCTCGGTGAGATACACCATTTCCTGGGAATTGAGGTTATCAAAACTCCTCAAGGTATTCACCTATCTCAAACTCAGTACATCAAGGATCTACTGGCAAAGGCCAACATGCTTGGAGCTAAACCTGTTCCCACCCCTATGCTCACCACTCTCACCTTAACCAAATCTCAAAGATCTCCTATTGACAATGTCTCAGCCTACAGGAGCTTAGTTGGTTCCCTTCAATATGTCACCATCACCAGGCCAGACATTGCCTTCAGTGTCAACAAGGTGTGCTAATTCATGCAAACTCCCCTTGATACTCACCTTAAAGCAGCCAAAAGGATTCTCAGGTTTCTTGCAGGCACATTCACTCATGGCCTTCACTACACTAGTCACTGCTCTCTAGTTTTAACTGGTTTTTCAGACTCTGATTGGGGAGGAGATTTGGATGACAGAAAATCTATCACAGGTCTATGTGTTTACCTAGGCAGAAATCCCATTTCATGGTGTTCCAAAAAGCAAGCAACCATCTCCAGATCAAGCACTGAGGCTGAGTATAGGAGTCTTGCTCATGCAACAGCTGAGGTCACTTGGATTCAGTCCCTATTAAAAGAACTTCATGTCTCCCTACCAAGAACTCCCACAGTCTGGATAGACAATCTCAGCACCATCTCACTGGCTAGCAATCCTATTCTACATGCTCGAACAAAACACATCGAAATTGACCTACACTTTGTTCGGGATCAAATTGCTAATCAGCTCCTCAAGGTTAATCATGTTCCCACACATTACCAGGTTGCAGATATCCTCACTAAACCGCTTTCACTCCAATTCTTCACCAGGCTTCAGCAGCAACTTCAAGTGCTGCCTTCCCCTGCCCAAGAATTGAGGGGGAGTGATAAGCAAGATGCCAAAATCTGTTAGAAGAGCCACAGTGTACCCGAGCTCATTGCTGTTTCTTCCCAGCTGTACTGTACTGTTGCTATTTGGTGTGCATGTTAGCATGCAACACGTATTACTTTTCTATTGGATCTGTCATTAGGGTTTGCAGGAGTAGGGCTACCATAGGTCTCTATATATAGCATGTTATTCCATCTTCTTTATGTACAATTAATACAGAAATAGTTTATCAAGCATTATGGCTTTTGTTCTACTGTTTCTCAAATTATGTGCACCAATGTTGATCGTCCAACAATAGTAAATGACTTGGAAGCTGAAAATGCAAAATTGAAGCAGAGCATTGAAATGATGAAAAGAACCTGCATGTTTGTAGTTTTGTCTGTTGATGTTTTCCAACTCTTGTACGCTTCAATTAAGTTGATAGGATGCCATGATTGGTGTAATGGACTTAGAAACTTCATCTAGGTTTTTAGGTTGTTATGTACTTTTGTGGTTGCGCATATGTTAAGTAGAATGATCTTTTTAAGAAGTATTGATTTGTTGTACTTGTTTTATGTTAAACCTTCAAATATAGTAATAGTATCCCTACTTCTGTTTGAGTTGATTTATGGGAGGTGTGGATTTCTAACTTTGTCTATTTTGTCTCAAAGTAGTATTTGAAATAATTTATATTATTTTTATAAGTTAAATTTAAGCAAACAAGAAGAAATTACTCGGCAAATACTATTTTTTGAATGAATAAGAAATTGCTATATCAACAAAAATTGATTACAAGTTTGTGTAAAATGCAATCGATCTTCGTATATGATATGGGATATTATACCCACAAGGCTGAACCGGTCTGTTGACCGGTTGAGGAGGTCGTATTATGAGGAAGCCAAAGAAATCGAGCAGTCAACTAGTCGACCAAGCAAGGTTGTCGACCAAACTGTCCTTCGACCAGATACACGATCGAGCAACCTATTCGACCTCGACAGGTCGATTACTTCGAGGACTTAACACCACGCTGTTCGGCCTAGTCGTAGGCGCGTGAAGGAAGCCTCTGACAGAATTCCAGGAGAATATTTACCCCATGTGCAGGGGGACACGTGTCGAGAAGGTAGTTGTGGATAGCGATAACCACCTCTGACAGCATATCCCATGTGCAGGAGGACACGCGTCCAAAGAGGATTGGTGCGGGCGATAGTGGCGACGGCTATCTCTGACACACGCGTTTGGTGTGTACGGACGGGTAGTTAGGGCAGACAGCTCATCAAATCCGGGCAGCCCTAGGTCAGGTATCTCACTCCTATATAAAGGGGGTGAGCCTTTCTTCTTCAAACACGATCATTCTACTACTTACTCTTGAGAATTGATTGAATACACACTGACTTAAGCTTCGGAGGCTCTTCACCGGAAAACCCCTCCGGTGTGAGAGTTCTTTGTAGGTGCACGACGCTCAACCGGTGAGAAGGAAGGCGATTACTCAAGTTCCAGCCGGTCGAGGAGTTTTGTGTTACCAGTATAAATACGCCTAAAAAAAATAACATAAGGTGTTTTTAATTTACTAAAACAACACGACATATTTGTAATATTTTTTTTTTCATTCGTTTTGTAATTTACATCAGACACATAAGAAAAATTCATACTTAGAATTTATACACATAACAATAATGATATTAGTAAAGCCAAATTGAGTTGAATACGTCATGTTCGAACGCTTGCTCGTATAATACATGAGCAAGTTTGGCTAGGATCATCTAATAAATTGAGTGTAATCTATTATGTTCCGCTCTTTTGAATTAAACTTCATTTTATGTTCTATCATGGTTATGTTTGTTAAACTAGTCGATAGCTGATAAGCTAGCCTTATAGCTTATTACTTATAGTTGAAAACTAGTTTATCTATATCTATCTATATCTATAATATTATAAAAGAGCCAATGAATCTGTAAAAATATAATATTCCTAAATTACCCTTATTTTGTCAAACAGATTTTGTAATTTAATATTAATAATAATACATT